CTAGGCTTGGTTTGTATGGTGGTGGGGATCGCCTTGAAGCTGTGTCTCAGATCCTCTCCCTGCTTGTTAGCAGATTCCAGCCAACTGTAGACAAAATACTTTTCTCTGCAAACTTGGTTGTGGGATGGAAACAATGCCAGACATCTGCAGCGTGGTGGAGGAGTGCCTCGCAGGCACGCACTCCTGCACAGATATGTGGGCTCTGTGCGTAATCAGGTATGTGCTCCTGGGAGCAGTCACCAGTGTTTCCCTGCCACCCCCAAGCTGCTTAAGAACAGGTGAGATTTTATGGTTAAGTACAAAAGCAAGTTTATTCTAATACACTCAAGCTGCAAAGGTGGTACACCGACAAGAAGTAAAAAAAAATAAAATCAACCTACCTTGTGTCTTAATTTCAGCGTCTTGTTTCCATGTTGCTCCAAGCCAGCTGCCAGCACGGCTTTATGGCCATTGTAACTCATCGCTGGCAATTAGAAACCCCCTTCCCCTGTGCCTTGTCATCCTCAGTGGCTGCCTTGATCAGGCATTAGCATGTCCTCTGAAGGGCAGCTGCAGCTTGCAGGTATTTCAGCTGCTGAATGTGGTGGCAGTTCAGGCCAGATGCTGTCCTCCAGCCTCCTCACAGCAAGGCTTCTCGCGGCAAGATTGTCCTCCTGGTGTCTGAAGGTGTCTTGAAAATGAAAACTCCTTGCTGCACCTTCCCAAAAGGATTAACAGCAGTTTGGCACCTTGCAGCCCTTCCTGCCACATTTGACACCAAAACCTTGGCATTTTTACAAGAGTTGGGTTAAAACATCCAATCTCCACATGTCGTACAACCCCCTTGCCGTGCAGACAGATAGTGCGAGGGTGTGCAGGTTCCCACTGGCTCCTGGCAGATGCTGGCTGGGAGCAGGATAACCGTGAGCATTGGTGCTGGTACCCTCACCACGATCAGTCATCATTGGCCTGATGATCTCCTTATGCCACTTCCACCGAAGGCTGTGTGGAGTCTGACCCATTACCTCTCAGCTGTGTCCTGTTGTGGAAGAACAGGTCATGCTTGGGCCGAAGATCAGGTGGATTTCCTGTTCCTACCACTTCCATTTGAAGCTGCTCCAGAATTTGGCTGCTCTGATTAAAAATGCAGCTTCTAGCCTAAATTTAGAGATGGCTAGAAATGTTTATATGTACTGCCCTTTAGCTTAAATCAATTCTACCTTCATAATATTTACTTCCTTTATGTATTTATAAGTGACAGGCATATTCCCCTGTCTTGATTTTATTAGATTAAGCAAGCCAGCCTCTTTAGTCTTTTTCATAAAATAAGCTTTCGTTTCCTCTCCTCATCTTTGCAGCTGTCTTCTGCACCTCTTCCAGCTCAGGTTTATTTTTCTTATGTTTGCATGACCACAGCTATAGAAAACACTAGATGAAATTTTACCAGAGCCTTTTATAAAGGCATCAAAACTTCCTTTTCTCTTCTATAAATAACCTTGTTTGATATATCCTACAATTGTTTACTTTTCCATGTCTGCCTTGCTTTGGCTCAGATGTCTTGCCATCAGCTGAAATATCCAGGTCTGTAGCTTTTTCTGCTTCCCATTGTTGAGGTCCCAGAAAAGGACATTAGGCAAGGTGCACGATCGTTGATTTTGCAGTGCTGATGTTGGTCTCCATGTGGTCTCCTAGTCCGGTCTCTAAGGTCATCCCATTTTTCTTGTATGAAAACCTAAGCCTCCGATTGCTCTCCAGATGACAACACAAACAATCAAGTGAGGACGGTGGCATTAATACTGATACCACCTCTGTCAGCGTTTGGGATAGTGGCTGTTGCAGTAAGCGTGGCTCTCCGCTTATCCCACCAGCAATGATACCCTGCCACAAACTGGGAAAGCTGACACTGGCCTTGGCCCATGAAAGAACCACCACCCAAAGGAGGGCATTTACGTGGTGATTACCTTCATCCTGCGTGCAGGGCCTTGATCTGACTTGATGCGGAAACTGCTGTAGAAAGCATCTGGCGTCTCCAGGTCTGCAAGAAGGGCTTTCTGACTCTGAGCTGTGGGCTAGAGACTGCCACGGTGTTTGTCTGGGCTGGGTGCAGTCAACAGGAGACATTGGGGCTGCAAACGCCTCTCTAGAAGCACCAGACACTGCACTTGGGTCTGAGATTAAAAACAGTCGCAAAGTGGCATTGCTGTGGCAATACCTGCTTGTGTCCCTTGTGATGCAGGGCTAAATCCATTTCTCTCTAATTAATTGACTGTACCCACAATGTATTTGTGCCCTTGCACAGTCCAGTATCCTAAATGCATACTCCCACAGTGCCTATAAAGACATGCAATTTAGTGGCTTTTGTTTAAAGGTGGGTCTATAAAGTATGCTGGAAGAAGAGAAACTCCTGGTGTGCACTGCTTCCCAAGGCACATCCCTGCGTGGGGAGGTGATTTGCTGTGTCTTCCTTGAAGATAATGTAAAGCTGCTGACCTGCCTTCATCCTGGTAGTGTTAGGTATGGGATGGATCCCACGGAGCAGATCTGCTGTAGGTTCGTTAGCCGATACTAAGGAGAAGTTCTTAGGTGAGCACAGCTAAGTCTTAACTTGGCTGTGTCTTGGCTCTTGATTATTCTTGGTTTTGAAGTGCACGGTCTCACCAGGGCTTTGTTGGGAAGACAGATAGAACACGTAGCAAAGGCCCTAAGAAGCTCTCACTGTATGCAAACATAGCTGGTGGCAAAGTGATTAGAACAACTGAATTAACTCA